TTTATAGTTGAAAACTCTTAAAATAAAAAGTCCTTCATATAAAGAATTTGAATGGGAGAATTTAATAATTCTGACGTTCTTATGGTTAACTTCATTTCTATTATCATAAAAGAAAAGAAAGTTACACCCTTTTGCACACTTACATTGAAACACAAACTGTAATGTTGTTTTTTCGAATTTTGAAATTGATAGATTGATACTATATATTAAAGTTTTGTTATTGTTATATATAATTATATAATTATATCTGACGTTATGAATGATCTGGGTATTCCGGTAATATTTTTATGATGCGCAATAATTTCTTTTCTCAGTTTAAAGAATGGTGATTAGAACGTGAAGTCTGCTTTAAGGGCTATGATTTATCAGCAGCAATTGAATTAATACTTCAAGAATTATTTAGGTCAAAATTTTCCTGTTTTACTTATTAATTTAATAGATTTAATTTACTCACGACAAATATGTTCTGGGCAACATTGACCACTTTGATATCTGTAGAAACAATTGTCCTTCGGCGGTAGAAAAGGACAGTCAACAGCCGCACATATAAAGCTGGGACTGTTCATAGAATGTAACATTATTGTAATATATAAAGAAAGACATTTTTCTGGTTGATTGACTGCTAAGTAATTAGAATGTACTGTAGAATCAATCTTTTCTATTTTAATTCTTTTCCTCTATCGCTTAATGTCTTTTTTTTATTAATCATATATATATATTCTTTTCCCATAAAATATTTATATGGAAAATTGATAATATAATCGAAATTTCGAAACAAAATGATCAGAGATGTAGTACACGGGATGTTCACGCGTTTTTCTCGTAAATGGTAAGTATCTACTAGAAAAAAATGAAAGAGGAAAAAGTTTTGTAGTTTTCTATGACCAACATAATAACGTGCATCAATTTTTTATATTGGTCATATTTTTCGAGAAACGAAGGTTTAATTTTCTAAATAAAATGCTGCATATTTTTTTATGTCATATGAAACCGTGTATCAAGACGAATTCATCCATGTGCCATACAGGGTGTTTCAAAACATGTGGGCATCACTTTAGAGATAGATTCAGTACGCTGAAATAAGAAAAAAAGTTCATAGAAATATACACCCAATATGACCTTGTTTCCGAATTATAGCCCTTTCCATGTGATACCTGTTATTTAATAATTTTCATAGAAATTGTTCCAAGTGGTTACCCCTGGCTAGAATGCAGCCTTCCAAACGTCGTATCAATGTACATTATCATTCAAATTGTTATGAAATGTATTAGATGATCACTCGAAATTATTATGAAATGTATTAGCAAATTGTCATGCGTGCTGTTACCTCCAAGAACATGATTAAACTGAGATAAGAAGCGTCACTTGTAAATAATTAAAAGAAGCAGTCAATAGAGTCATGAGAATTACTGGAAGACATAAACCGCTATATATATATAATTCGGAACAAGGTCATATCGGGTATATGTTTATATGAACTTCTTTTTTTTATTTTAGCGTACTGAATTACATAAACCGCTATATATATATAATTCGGAACAAGGTCATATCGGGTATATGTTTATATGAACTTTTTTTTTATTTTAGCGTACTGAATTCATCTCTGAAGTTGTGCCCACATGTTTTGAAACACCCTGTATAATGACCGTTAGGGTCGTACAAGGTCAGATATGAAAGAAATATTTCGAATATTACGTACCAAGGTGTACACAAGTACCTACATAACACCTTCTTTTCTCTCTATGATCACTCAATACTTAAAAACAATTTAAGTTCTACCCATATTACACTTTACAATTAACACAAGTTTCACCAGATACACTAAATAACATCATTTCGCTTTTAGGCTTAAAAACTTATTTCATAAAAACTCGATCCTGACTGTCAAACTAAATTTTCAAACAAATTGATTTCTGTTTCATTTTTCCAGGATATTCCACTCGACTGACTATTTCGCGGAAAGAAAAAACATTTGCTTGTCTCAAAGTTACTATTGAAGCATACCGACCACGTGGAACAGTTCTAATTTACTTAAACATCGTTTACTTCCTTGAAACTTTGGAGAACTCAAGTTTATCCAAGATTATGACCGTCAAACTAACTATACTTACGATTGTGTACCATATGACCCACAGGAGCATCCTATATCGCAAGGATTTCTGTCCTCATCCCTTAGTGCTTCCCCGATATTGTACTCATGGCCGTTCGCGTAGCATTTATCCTCTTTTATATCCTTCAAGACACCACAGTCGTATTCCGTTGCGCAACAGTCGCCAGGTTTCTCGTAGACAGGAGTACAGCCAAGCGACTCGTAGTATTTCAAAGGGCCGGGACACTTTGTCTTATCACAGATTTCTTTGAAAACGAAACGTAAGCAAAGTTAAGCGCTACATTTAAGCGAAACGCGTCAAGGCGGGAAACGAACGAAAATTTCATAGCCGATTTGTTTTCGAAATTTCTTTTGAAACGTTGGATAATTTTCAATCGCTACCTACGATAAGAGAGTTAACTTTATCTTTCCTGGTCTTTACTGTTGCATAATGTATTACACGACGTGTGTATAGGATGTTATAAAATAAGAAACAAGAAGAAGATAAATATCGTAGTATTTTAATAATTAAAAGAAAAAAACGAATTGTATGAACGTTGTAGGCGTAACCGTATATTACAATTGTCAAGTGAAAACAGACACAGAATAAAATTTCTCGTAGCTGACAAATTATGTACCTATCTGTTACAGTACATAAAATAAAATAAATTCTTATTTATTACATACTGAAAATAATGAAACATATTTAGCGAACATTAGGTCACTACGTCTGTGGTAAATTAGAGTATCCGAAGCAACGTCGAATGAATAATCGAGACAAATTTTTTATTTATTTTATTCTGACTAATCCTAAGTAAAAGTTGACTTATAGGTAAATAAAAATTTATCAAACTATAAAAAAAGATTTCATCCTGAACAGCAACAAATACTGTACCATTTAGAATTTGTGGAATTATAACATTACATTTTTGTGTAAAAGCAAGATTTAGCTAGAGATGTTATTATGTCTAATTTATAACTATCACATAGTAAGTTTTACAGTTAAGGACTCTCACTAATGTAGTGCTCAGAAAATGTTAAAAGTGAAACCTGTTTGTCCACCTTGTCTGCTTTTTGAATATTCATGAACAATTTAAAAAATAATCAGTTTTACTACTCTGGAATTTTTAAGTGCAACGCTTTACAATTTTAATACTGAAAGAAAATATTTTCTTTCAATTTATGAGTAATTTTGGGGTTTTTCATGTAATCCTATTGTACATTGAATGTCTAATAAAATACAACAAATAGATTGACATTATTAATATTTCAAGAATTCGTTAATTTCATTTAATAATATCAATTAATAACTAATGGTACATACTTTGTATATTTTATTAGAGATAACATAAATAAGACAGCAACATCCTTTCAAGGCTAACCAGACAACCTGCGTCAGCAAAGTAAATATTTAGCTACAAAATATGCTTTCTCCAAGAAATTAAACCATGCTTCATGTTAAAAACACATTTCCCAATATATCCGATATTCATAGTCGTTTGTACAATTATTCACAACTGTCACTATCTTATGCTTTTCCAACCGTGAAAAGGCTAAACAGATAACTGCATTTATACCGGAAATATGCTAATGTATTCTAAATAGCCTAAATTGTATATTATTAAACTTGTTTATCAGTGATAAGATATCTTTCCAGCACCATTCACCGCATCACTTTTCAACCATTTTCAAAAAAGATAACCCTTTCATATTACTACGATATAGTAGGTGGATAGAATATAAAGTAAATACCAAAAATGTATAATTTTTTTAAACTCTATGCTTAGGCCACATTCATAGATCATTTATCACTAAGTAATTTCTTGCGAGTAACCAACGTCTCACCTCGTCCTGCTACGTGAACAGCGACGAGAAACGTCAGGAAGACGCACTTCTCAACGATCGGACACAAATTATCGCGCCTGGCCATTGTCGAGCACTATGTATACTGTGAGCGTATTGTCGAGCCGGCTCGTCTTTTATAGCTTCGACCAGGTTGGACCCCGAGGAAATGCCGGATAATATGATAAAGTGGGGATTTCCTAGAGCAGCTTCTTTGGAGTGGAAGAATTTTATCAAATGGACAGATACATCGTGAAGGACGTCAACGAACATGGATGTACAGTAAGAGGAAGAGAAACGTGACCCGGAGAATAGTAGGTGGAAAAAGGAGAAGAAGAATCGGTTGTACATCGTTACAGTATACAAGAAAGGGATAATAACAACTAATTAAATTACATTACCTTTACATTTATTGCGGGATGCATTTTTCACCCTAATATTTTCAATCCTCAAGGTTATTTCATGCAAAATTCTAACGGGGACTGATTACTTTACATCTAAATTTAAAATCCTAATGTTTCTGTGAAAAATAAATGATTTTTTCGTTTGAATAACAAGCTTTAGAAAATTCGCGGAGTATCGATAATTCTTGCTGAAGAGTCACTATTTAACTTTTATTCCCGACATTAAATATCCTCTAATGAATACTATAAATAACACGTCAGTGTGAACTTTGCGTGATTAAATATTCTCAAGTGAATTTCTAAGTAACACATCGGCGACAACTTTGCACGGTGAAGATTCTCAATTAAAAAAGAAACCGATCATACGCGATAATAATTCCTCAGGCTCTAATCACACATGACCTGCAGTGCTTCCGGATAACCTCCAATTTATCATATTACTAGTCAGTTAACAAATGATCTCACTTTCTAGCTTCAAATTTTGGCAACTGTTTCACTTTACTTATCGGCAGGCGTCAAACGGAATTTATCGTGGCTAACAATCATATCGTATAGACTTGAAAGATTGTCCCAGATAAGTTTTATAAAGATTGAAAAGTTGAAAATAATCGTGTTAATATCTAAGAAAGTTGTTATCAAGAAGTTTCTCAAGCAATTCGTAATAATTCTCCCAATAAAACTTTGCGATTCAGCCTCACGGAGGAAAAGTAAGAATCAACTTTAATTATTTCCCTCGAATTTTATGCGATTATCGCATATTTAATACGCCGCAATTAATTTTTTCCTAATAACGTATCCTCTGCATTTCGCTAAATTAAAATGTCACTTTTTTCTCTTAAGCAAGAGTGGAGAAGAATAAGTACTAATTTAATATCGCATCGATATTTGAATAAGTGTTAAATACAATAGATCATTAAAACCGGACCAGTGCTAGTGTCATTTCAGAATGTATGTACATGTAATACAGAAATATTAATAATGCAAATATAGTTTGTAATTATCAATTATACCCACTTTGACATATTGTTAATGTATTTCATTTATCGTATTTAAATAACGACGTGTTTGAAGTATATCCCTCACCGATATCGCGAAAACCTGGACAGTATTAGCTTGCAAACATTTCATTAACATATTAAGTATGTATCGTTCACATCGTATAATAATAATCTTAAAAAGCTTGTTAAAATGTAATTATGAATACTTTATAGTACCAAGCAAATGATAAATATACCGGCACATTATAATATTGAAAAATGATAGGAAAAAAATGTTAAATTATTGTAAATTGAAAATGAAAAATAGCTAAACTAAATGATCTATTGTTGCAATTTTGTTAAGAAAGGTTGTCCGTTAAATAATATGTTTTTAAAACATCTTGGAAAGAATGTCTTGAACATTCATACACTCTATTACATATTTAAACAGTTATAAATTAATAAATTAATTAGTAAATGATTCTGTTAGAATCCATTTCACTAATTGCTAGTCAGTCCTGTACATCTAAGACAAAGTTTTATTCAACGATGTTACCGTTGGACAATAAATGACGTTACTATTTTACACTTCACGTGGGAATAGCATATATTGTTTGAAAAATACTCTGTCCTTTAATTGAAAAGGTGTTTGTCCAAGGTAAGCCATTTGTTTGATATTATCTTTACAAGAATGTAGTTTTACATTTACGTAGCGCCACAATCGAACGTGAATGAGTAATTTCTTTTTTACACAATATAAGATCTAAGATAATGTTCTTAGTAATTTAATGAACGAATTACAATAATAATATCATATTAACCAATAGATATCTTTTATATATTGCACTTTTTAGGAAAATGTTCAAATAGTTCATTTTACTTAGAATACTCTTACCAGCAATTATAGCAGCACACATCTACAATAACAAAGATGTGGCACAAGACGCTAGGAACCGGAGATTAGGTAATTTCCATGTATTTTTACGGTAGACATTCAGTGTTTACTAAAATTTCCTATTTTTTATGTACTTTAATGTTTTACAGGAAGCAATTGTATGGAAAATTCATAATTGCTTCTGCCAACTTGGAAAATAAATAATTGATCTCCGACATGAAGATCAACAGGTATGCAGTCAAGGACATCATTACACCAATAGGTAGTATCTAACATTTAAGGATTGAAATAGCGTTTGTACTATGTGTAATGCGTGAGTAAATATGCAAATAATTTTACGGATGAAAGTAAATTCTGAAAATAGACATTTCGATGCGTCATTTGAAAAAACAAGTATAAAGATTGGTTATATTTGTCGTGTTCAGTATGGCCTTGCAATGGAAGAAAATAAGATGCATTTTCCATGCATTGTGATGCTCGGCGCCGCCGTGTCGGATAGTCTGCGTACGTAACAAATGATATAATAATAATATCTAATAATAATGATGTTAATAATAATATTAGAATAGCATCTAATTACAATAATGTTAATAATAATATAATAGTATTTAATTACAATAATGTTAATAATAATGTTATAATAGTATCTAATAACAGTGTGTGGGGGAAAGGCAGTGGGTTCGTAACATTACCATGACTGAATAATACCACAGGAGCACGCGCGCGCATGCGTGTGTAGAAAATGAGTATTTGTGCAAATACGTTAATTTTCTCAGTGCCAGCGCGAACAGTTGTAATTAAGAGAATTAGTAAGTAAGCAGTGAATGTAGCCTCTTTATAAATACACAAGAATATTCGAAGATATTTATTGTTATATACAAATAATTTATAAAATGTGGCGTGTAACATACTATTGTTCTTACTCTCCAAATCATGGAGCGTTGTTGATTTCTTCTTGAAAAAGCATCCAACTTTAGGAAGTTGGATGTATTTAATTAACAGTACTAAAACTTAAATTAATTCGCTGCTCATATACAGGGCGCTCGCGGTATACTGGACCAGCGTTTTTCTCGCAAATGGTAAGTATTTGAAAAAAGTGAAAGAGGAAAGAGTTTTAATGTTTTTTATAGCCAACATGATAGCGTACGCCAATTTTTTAATTTGGCAATATTTTTCGAGAAATGGAGGTGACCTTTAGTTTTTTAAATGAGATGCTGTATGTTGTTTTATATGTTATGAAAGAGACTGTTAAGACGAATTCAACGATGTGATATACCATGACTTAAAAAGACAGGCAAGGTCAGGTACGAAAGAAGTAAATTGAATATTTCGTAATGTTATATTTATTAGTATGTTGTATTGATAAGGTTACATATCGTGTTCAATGTGATTTCCACAAATTGTTCAATGTTTATTTATGTTTTTCACGGTACAGACGTATTCCTGATTCTAGCTGCGTAGTTTCAGTATTCTTGCATTATAATTTCTTCAACTATTGAGTTGTAAAACTTAAAGTGTTTAGTAACATTTAATCGGCATGTATCGTTATTCCATGGAGGAAAAAGGTGACATGTTATGTATTTTTTTACGAGTATCACGAAGATAAGAAGCAAAGTAAGTTAACGTACAGAGAAAGATATATGTATAAGATATTCAGAAACATTGACTTCGTCTGACCTTGAAGGTCATGGTATTCTACACGGTTCAACTTGTCTTCACAGTCTCTTATATAACATATAAAAGATCATATAGTATTCCCTTTAAAAAACTAAAGGTCACTTGCATTCCTCGAAAAATATTGCCAAATTAAAAATTTGGCGTGCGCTATCATGTTGGCTATAAAAAAATTTTAAACTGTTTCCCTTTTCGCTTTTTTCAATGACTTACCATTTGTGTATAACTGATTAATGTTAATATTCTTTCCAAGGCATTCTTTGAACATTTGAGAGTGTGGGTGAGAGAAAAGGTTTAACAGGAACATTAAGGCAGTTTCTTATATAGCTGATAAAGGCTTCGTAAAATGAAATTGTAGAAATTTTTAAAACCTTTTTGTGGAAGTTTCTTCCAGAAATAAAAAAGTGTCGAAAAATTGATATATATAGCTGTAACATAGGAAATTTGTAGATATAAATGTGAATTTTAAAGGTAAAAGTAACATATAGTAAGTAGAAGGATTGTAAATTGTGAAAAGTTGTCCATCAAAACCTTGAAAATTTCTACGAGAGCAACGATTTAATGTTAGCATTCCATTCCTTCCTTGTACGTGAATTGAAAGAAGATTATATTGTATAAGGTTACACATTACGACTAATGCATATAAAGTACATCAAATACTATACCAAATACTATACAAATACTAAAATAATATTTTATTTTCATATTTACAATCATAGTATCGAAGTTCTGTAAGGAAAGTATATTATTAAATTTGAATAGGAGGATAAATTGTTAGGATATCTTTCTTATATGAAATCGTAGCAATGGAATACCTAATTAAACCTCTGATAATGAAACTCATACCTCAACTCAAGGCAAAATTCTTTTTCGAACAGGAGAAAATTGAACTCTTATGTGAGCTCGAAATATTTACCTAAATCGATCATCGAAAAAACGTACAACTCCCTAAACGCAGACCACACAGGTGGACATTGTTAAATAGATTTTATTCCTACCCTGAACCTTATCAGTACTCTCGGTACTTTTTATCTCGTCAGAATTGGCAACAATAGACTTTGAGAACTGATCTCTACGACCAAGAACGCCCAGGCAATTTATTTTCATTTTATTTAGTAAGGAAAACCGCGAATTTATTACAATTTAACAAAATTTCGCTGGAACACTGAA